TTGGACACAAGGAGCTACTCGTAAAACTATATTATTGTAAGAACTAAGAGCTAGTAATGCGGTGACCTAAATGCAAAAATGTTAGAAATCATACGAGAAGCGAGTATTTACTGGAAATGGTTAGGCGTTGGACCACGTCTATCTAATTGCAGCACAAGATAATTGTTTTTATTAATAGCCCTAAACATCGTAAAATTAAAAAAAAACACACTATTAAAAATTTATTATATCAGGGTCATACATGTATCTGAAATCATAAATGTGTTTTTGAAATTGGATAAGAATTTGGTATGAAAATTACTGCCCGTGACAAAAATAATTTGGTAACAAAGTATATATTATTGTTATGAGCGCGCGACAAGTGGCATTGTGTATGCGGTGTTTGGCATGTGGGCTATCCCCGTATGGTATCTCTCTCCCATCCATCCACACACAAACACAAGGCGTTTAGAAAAAAAGAAAGAATAACTTTATATTATATACGAATAGGGTGAATGACCCGCACACATTGGAAACGGGGTTGGTTAGTATATCGTAGGGCATTCACCCTTCACCGCCGCTGTGTTGGTTCGGTGCGGCCGGTAATTACAAGTGCCTCTGCTGCGTGTGCGTGTGTGTATACCTGTTGAGCGAGCATCACTTCACCGTGAACTTCACATACACATACACACAACAACCTGCATATGGTCGTCACCGTAAAACCTACTTTCCCCTGAAAAAAAAACCTTATACTGGCGCTACGTACGCGTATAATGTGTGTGTGGTTGCGACGAAGTAAAAAAAAAAAAAAAAAAAAGAAAAGAAATCACCACGAAATCGCAGAGTAAAAAGCATTTAGTGTTCATTTACATATATATTCAGGTCTTATCCTCTCTGCGCGCCTACAGTACGTCACGGAGTGAAAAACTTAGAATTTTTGTTAATTATCGAGTCCGATTGAAATGCAAATTCTTCTCGTTTTTTGGTATAAGGATACCGTAACTACTTTTATTATTTACATGTCGACAAAACAAACGACGAAGATTATGGCGCAGGAAACCGTGACTGCTTAATTCGTAAAAAAATATACATAGAAAAAACGCGGAGGTCAGTCAGTCGACGGTTGTCAAATAAAATTCCATTGGGACAATTCCTACAAAATTCAGTCTATCCAATATAATAAGTGAATGAATAAAAAAATTAAAAATTCGTAATCGCACAAGGGGAGTGTGTTTTCAAGCGTAAAATTAGAATGTTTAAGCACCAGTGATTTACATATTTTAAAAACACATCAAGTAAAAATATTCACCCCACTCGTGCCGTTTCCTGTTCAGGGTCAGCCTTTGGGAAACAATTGAAAAAATAAAATAATACGGGAGGATTTTTGGGGCTGGTGTACAAGTATTTACGTAAAACAACAGGTGTAAAATGACCTCAAGCAATGAAACGGTCGGGATGATTCCACTACAGGAACAATATGACGGTTAAGGGCCAACGCACCCCGTACATTATAATGTACATCACAGAGGAGGGTCTTTAACCTCACGAGTTTACAAATCCACCCTTGTCCGGCATTGACTTCGCTGCTACCACCACCGCTTATAAACAGCAGGTGCCACAAAAACCAGTTCCCACGATACACGACTCGTGGTTCCCATCGTACTCAAACACAAGTTGGGGAGTATTTTTTTTACAGTAATTATCCAAGTTCAAACTAAAAAGCTAGTAATTTAATTGGTTTGGGCTGACGCCAAATCAAGACTCGGATCATTATTAGCAAGTAAAGCGACAAAGCAAAGGGGAAAAAATAAAAACTGTTATAAATAGTGTTAACCAGGACATTAACAGGATGTAATATATGGTGAGCATATAATCAAATATTATCCAATTGACGAGAGGGAAGATAGTGCCGGATTAGGTTTTGAAGAAAATATGAATATACTTGGTATAACTGAAAATCATTTAAAGAAATCAGACTTGGGTTGAAATATTTAATTTCCAATAAGAAAAAAGTATATAATTGATAATAATAAAAATTAAATATATTTCCGACTAATAATACTAGTTTAGGTGAAACTAGTATTATTTCAAACTATAACGTATGTTAAACATAATATAAATTAACACATTCTGAAAACAAAAAATTTGTGAGTGTACGACACACTAAAAATTAGAAGTTGACACTATTATAATGGGTAAATTGTAGCACTTAAAGTGTAATTATAAACATAGAATATTGGTAGTCAAATTTTGAAAGAAAAACACATTTAAAAGAAAATAATTAATTGGTATTTAAGACTAACTGAAAACATATGATTAATATTCTACAATAGTTATGTTGATAAGAGCACATCATTCAAGAGACTTATTTACAGTATAATTAGTAAATCTTAAACAACAATGACGGCGTGATTTAAAACAAATGAAATTTAGTGATTAATTTATTATATTTTAAATTCCATTAACCGTCCAATTGTCCAATTTTACAAATAGACAGTAAAAATATATTGTATAATAGATTTAATTAATATTTACATGCATATATAAATAAATTAAGCGAGTGGGTCGAAAATGGTGTAAGGAATGTAATAATAAGACTATTCATGAACGAGTTTGGTACAAGCAAATGCTGTGTGTGTAGTAATTTTTATTTGTTTAAGTTTTGCCCATATTGTTCACCGTTGAAATTTTGGCGAGAACAATTGCATATGTTCTTTCGATTCGCCATGCTAGATAATTATGAAAACCACTGCTGAACTTTTACACAATGTCGTATGAAATAGAAAGAGACTTTAAACTAGCCACAAAAGAGAAGCGAGTAGTAAAAAAGGGATAATCTCTAAACAAGATGTAACGGGTTTTCGGGTAGGGTTGGTAGGGGAATACGAACTGTGGCGTTTATCGGTCAATGGCTGTGCAATGCTGTGGGTAAGAAAGTACACTAGATGAATAAACGGCGGCGATGATGCTCCAGGCATACGGAACGCCGCTGTTTTGTAGCATCAAACAGTGCACATAACGTCAAGGTCCAATAGTAAATAGGCTAGTTCGGGCACGCTGATGTGGCAACGCGGCAAAACGCGTATGCGCCTCTCCCCTATACGAGTGCGTATAAAGAAGTCGCGCGTATGCATAACACATATTATGAATATATAATATATAATAATATTTAACAATAATAATAGCTGTGCACTTTGGTCAGCCGTTGCCCTATCGAGCAGAGACGACGCGTAGTATATTTTAATATTTTTATTGAGTCTGCTAACGCACTCGTATAAAAAGTGTTAGAAGGCGATAATCATCGAGACATTGACATCACAGTCGTCACACTATAAGTGCTATATTTTTGTTTTAAAAAATATTTTTATAATTTTACTCAGCGAATACTATAGAAATTTAATCAATATCATAGATTCGCGCATAAAGATATTTACGCGCGAAGGTTGTGGAATAAAATGTAATAAATAGACATATTTTTGTTGAAAGAGCAATATTTCTTCCCTCTCCCCGTCGTTTATTTGTCCGTGACCTGAGAAACGGTGTTATTCAGTTAGCTGCAGAACAAGATTAGCGCCGGATGGTTACATAAAAATGCCAACAACTAGCAACGTGTTTTAATCTAAAGATGTGTATAAATTAATCGGTTCAGAAAAGGACATACAAAGTTCGTTTTTTTTTTTTCGGAACAATCAGTCATGCGTTTCCCTCAAATGTAATCTTATCTCTATGAACATGTTTGGGGATTAGAACAGCTAAATTATTATGAAACAAAATGATGATGATACAGAGGTCGACTATGAACGATAACTGTGACGTTTTTAGACGCTGTATACTTGTATAAATGACCGGACCGTTACACATTGAGGGTACAACTATCATTAAAACGATAATTAATGTAGTGTACAATACAGTAAGAACATACTATCGGTAACACTCAATCTGAGTGTAATTATCAATAGTGTCAATAGGGCAGTCAGGAACACAATCGCGTTAATGTGTCACATTCTTTTGACTTCTAATAATAGCTTATTGACTAGAGCACCTAGGGGCTTTCTAGGGTTGTATAAGAAATAAGGATAAAGAACAATTATGAGCCATATAACATATTAAATTAATAGCAGTCGTTAGCATGCGAATTCTTAGTATTTAGTGATGACGATGAGGGAGGAATGTCATTAGAAATCACTGAAAATTAATTATTTGAAATTATTTATTACAGTATGTCATTAGCGTTTTCAAATATCACATCAATATATAATTTACATATACATAGGTTTGTATATTGAGTACAAAAAAAAAAAAAATCTAAAACGCACATTTATAATATGTTAGAGTATTCTACGTTGGACAATTGGTGAAAAATAAATATCCACAAAACAATTTTCATTACAGCATCTTCCTTTATTTTGGCAATAGTCGGGTGTTTAAAAATACATTTTTACGGGGTAGAGATCTCTACTTGACGTTTGGGTGCCGAGGCCAAAGACTGAACACGTGCACAACGATTAAATTTAAAGGGTGTCGAACTGTAAAAGGGTGTAAACTGTAAAGACTGTCTTTTCACTAGAAGAAGCGCTAATGATAGGTATTACACACGTTTATGATCTAACAATTGAGGGGTGAAACCCGGTNTTACAAGACTGTCTTTTCACTAGAAGAAGCGCTAATGATAGGTATTACACACGTTTATGATCTAACAATTGAGGGGTGAAACCCGGTAACAATAAATCTAAAAATAGCTTACTACAATTTATTCTATCCAACCCTTGCATATGATTTGATTTAGTTGAGTTGATTTATGATTTAATCATATTTTAGTTTAAGAATATTAAATATACTAATCATTTTTAGAGTGTTACATTTAAATAGTTAAAACGTACCGTTTACAAATGACCGTTACATAGATACTCAGTTTTCAAAATATTTAGTTATACGTTTGTATGACAATTAATATTCATATCATAGTACATATATTTCATTGGTACATATATTTACTTAATCGACCTTTGAACGTATCTTACCTTCGTGATATTGTGATTTCCAACGTGTCCATTTCCGGTCGTTCAATAAAATAATTCCTCGTTGATGTTCTAAGGGATGACAATAGAAAAATAGTTCTATGAACTTAAAAAATTAACACTTGATAGACGTAAAGAAGTAATTAAAGATTCTAAAAATGTTTTTTAAAACAATAAAAATATAAAAACAATTGTTAAAAAAGGGTCGAAAACGTTGATCGTACGAAACGGATAAGAATTTAGTGCGTCGAGTGCGCACGTCTGGCGGCGTAGCGAAAATGAACTTTTAATGGGCCGCACGGGTTGGTTCTTGTGACAGAAACTGTAAGCGACCGACGCACCATCTGCCCATCTCAATTATCACTTTTATCGTTCTTTTGATAAACTGATAATAATTATAAAGGAATTTATCTTACTTCATTCACGTTTGTTGGAGAAAAGTGAGTTAAATTATTATAGTTATTTCGTTTTTAAATCTTTATTACCAATTTTATGTTTCATAAACCTGAACAACTGATAAAACGAACGCCGGTCGATGGAGTTAATCGGCCAGAATTTTTAAAACTACTTGTTCAGGAGTTTCGGAAAACACAAAGCATAGGTTATTACTTATCAATTACTAATTAGTAAATACTAATGTATTCATTATTTATTTATTTTTAATGAATTTTCAGAAGCTAAAAAACAAACACTTGCTAATTTAGCTAATTTTGCTTATGATCCAATTAACTACAATTACATACGATCAGAGAGGGTGATTGATTTATTTTTAGAGCAGTTAAACTCTTCCGAAAAAGATTTAGTCCGGTTTGCTGCTGCTGGACTTTGTAATTTAGCCAACGGTAATATGATTTAAAATTTACATGTCTTGATTTTTAATGCTAATGTATTTTGCTTTAATATTGTGAAAAGGTTAACCTGAAATATAAAATATTTTTTAAAATAGTTAGATTTAATTTGATTCTAGTTATTATAGATGTACAATAATTTCCTTAACTTAAATTTGATACGATACCGCTAACTATTATTTGGCTCTTATTAAACATTTACCTCAAGTTTGTTTTTAAGATTCTCATAATTTAGGAGTCCTTGCTTATTAGACCTACTTTGGGGCTGTATTATATTTAAGTCCATTAAACAAATGAGTCAATAAGGTGAGAGACCTCAAAAATAATAAAATACTTTTGCAAATTTAATTTTATTTACATGTATTGAGATTTTATTTATATTTATTTTAATTTGATTATAAAATTATTTGTTTTATAATAATATTATAAATAAAATATCAAATTTAATGGAGAGATATTTAATGGAGAGTCATTTTTGGGAACCACATGACGATGATGTCAAAAAAATAAAGATTAAAACTTCATAAAATAGTTTTTGTTTTGTATTTTATTTATATAGGACTAAAAGAATTATGTTATAATTTCTGAAATGAATATCATTGAAACATTTGGTGAACATAATAAAATCATTAAAAATATTTTATTGTATGTGTGTTAATATTTATTTTTATATGGCAATACCTGGAAAATCTAGGTGTGATGATGAGTTGAAGTGTCTTATTCAGTTTTCTTATTATCTTGCAAATTATACATTTCTTTGAACATTTAATAGTGATCAACATTGCTGTGTCATTATAAATAATGTCAAAAATTAAACTTAAATTTAATTTGAATTAAATAGCATATCTGTTTTATTTTTTTTATTTATCTTATTGTTAAATGACACCATTATTACCAGTATAAGGAGTCCAATAAATAAATATTTTTCTGTATATTAGTATACATGTAAATCGATACCAGCTTGTTTGAGTCCAATAGGCAAATGAGTTAATAAACTACGAGTCTAATTAGTTGTGGCTACTATATTAGAAAAATATAAAATAATAATCTTTAAAATCAGTTTTGTTGTTTTTTTCATTTTAAATTTATAATTAGGGTTATAAAGAAAATTTAAATTATTTAAATATACATATAAAATTATGTGCATATTGGTTTATAAACTTACAGATTCAACAAATAAAGATTATATTATTGGCAACGGAGGAATTCAAAGTCTTGAAAGGTGTTTGAGACTTGACGAAGAAAATATTGTATTATCTGTAATTACAACGTTTATGTATTTATATACTGCAGAAATAAAAACAGGTAAGTTGAGTATTAGGTAAAGTTTGATAAATAAAAGACTATTCAAGTGTATATAAAATCATTGGCTATTAAATTAGATACCTAAAAATAAAAATTTATAATGAGAAATTAAATTGTAATGTTGTATGCGGTCATGTATTACTTCATTATGAAAAAAGTAATCACTACTTTAAGTATTATTTATAATTAGTTTACTGTGTAAAATATGTAGTCTATAATAACAGTGTACTTATCTAAAAAAAATATGCATCTGATGCTCTTTAAGCTATTGAATTTGGTAATGTTTTTATCTGCTAAATGTCAAATGTGGTAATTATCTTACATTTTATAAAAAATGCACAGTTAAAAGCATAATTTTTCTTTTTCCTAATAATTATAATTAATTTTGTTCAGTAATTATTAATGTAGTACAATAGTTTTTCAAAATTTTTTTAATATTGTTGATAAATTTTCAATAAGTGTAATAATTAGGACACAATTTGAAATTCTCTAAAAAAAATATGAAAAGAGAAAAAATATTTCTTTGTAATAATTAGAAAATAGTTAATTAAATAACTATAGTAAAAAAAAAAAAAAAATTATAAAGTTATTAATTTTAATAATATATTCATTGAGAGAATTTTTTAAGTAAATTTAAACACATATTAAAATGAGTGACAATTTTTACTATCCATTTTTTGGTTTAAATAATTTACATATTATTACATAGATCTTGTATATATAATTGTTGAAATTTTAGTAAAATAATATAAATTATTTTGTTTTATGATTAATACAGGATTATCATAAAATTAAATATTTAGGAAAAGTTTAAAAATCTAAAAATGAGTTTAAAATAATTTTATGTTGTTCAAGTTTAACTAACTTAATATTTCATTACATATTTTATTAGTATTTTGTATTGTTTATAATATACTATAATTCATTTAATTACTTATAAATAAAAGATAAAATAAAATAAAATTATATTTTATTCGCCATAATCATTTTTTTATGAAACATTCAAATATTTTAAACAAATCATATTAACTGCAAACAAATGTTCATTGTTACCTTAATTTATGACTTCATTGGATAAATGTATTGTGTTAAACTACTTTTTTATGCTTAAAAAACTTTTTTATTATATTGATTGCAGATTTTATTTATAAAGTTTAAATTATTGTTTATTTTTTATTATTTGGAAATGATCACAGATAATTCTTTATTATAATCAAACTAAATAAAATGTATAAATGTAAATATTTTTAACACATTGTCAGATACTATTGTTATAGTATTAAAATGAAAAAAATTATATTATAGTATTACGGCTATAGCAGTACTATTTCCAATGGTACCAAATGATAGACGAAATTTGACTTTCACATTACGTTGGATTGATAACTAAAATTATAAATGTCCGTTAATATCTTAAGAATAAAATGAAGTTAATAATCATGATTCTTGATGACAATTGAGGAAATTTTATTTTTTTTAACAAAATTTTTATGTATTATTTATATACCCACAACATTTAATATTATATCTTCTATTAATTAATTAATTTGATCAATTTTTAAACTGATGTATTATGTTCATTAATTATTCGCAATTTAAAATAAATAATTTTAAATATTTAAAAGCTTAAATAAATATCAAAAATATTGTATTATAATTTTTTATTCCAATATTAAAATTTTACTAGTTGATAATGATCGCATACTACATAAAATTCAACATTTTCCGTTAAATATGATATACGTTTAATTATGTTCCTTTTTTCTAAGGTTTCTAAACAATGAAATTACCAGTTCGATTTGTTCGTTTCTTTTCCACTTCACTTCTTCATAAACCAAAATTAGAACTTCTCAATAACCGATGCTTACTTAAAATGAAAGGTGAAGCTCTTCTTGAATATTGTCAAGGATTAATGACTAATGATATTTTGCAACTAGAAACAAAAAATTCTTTGTATACAATGTTATTAAATTCCAAAGGAAGAGTTTTGTACGATTGTTTTTTATATAAAATAGATAATTTCATATTACTAGAGTGTGATAGTAGTATCGCAAATAACTTACAAAAACATTTGAAAATGTTTATGCTAAGAAAGAAAATTGAGATTGATGTCTTACATAATGCTTTTGTATGGGTTTTGTTTTGTTCTACACCTATAAATATACCTCTTGATTCTCAAAACACATTTGATGATCCTCGTTTACCATTTTTGGGCAAAAGAATAATATCTGATAGATACTTTAATATGGATGATAAATTATTACTAGATAATCAAGACAACACATTTTCTTATCAAAAATGGAGGTATACTAATGGTGTTGCTGAGGGTTTAGAATTACTTAATGGAATATCATTACCCTTGGAGATGAACTGTGATTATTTGAATGGTGTTAGTTTTGATAAAGGTTGTTATATTGGTCAAGAATTAACAGCAAGAACACATCACACTGGTGTAATAAGAAAACGAATAATGCCAATTGTTTTTAAAAATGCTCCTCATAAATTAAATATAGATGCTGATATTTACGATAATGATGGTATAAAACCCAAGAAACCATTGGGTAGACTAAGAGGTATTTGTGAAAATATTGGCATAGCACTTTTAAGAATTGATGAGTGTTTAAAATCAAAGAATTTGGTTGCTGATGGACATGATTTCAAAACGTTTATACCTAGCTGGTGGAAATCTTAGAATTTTATAAATTTTCTTTGAAAACAAATATTTATAGTATTACAAAAATTATTAGAAATTGTATTAGAATGTTGTAGATTACTTGTGATAAACTGCATTTTTGCTTTTATTTATTTGTTTGAGCATTAATTATGGCAAAAAAATATTTCTATATTCAATCAAAATTTAAATGTTATTGTTTACAATTCATTTTATTATAGTACTATCTTTGAGGCTTACAAAAATAATTTGAACAATAAAAGAGTTTATTTATTTAAATAACTAATTACTTTTAATATAAAGTAGGTGATAAAAATTCACAAGTTTACATTATATTTATGTTTATAATAATGTTGAAAAGCAATATTATCATAAGCAATTTTTTATTGTTATTAACTTAAAAATACTGATACAAAAGAATCAAATTTAATATGTTAGAAACATTTTTTATTTTAATAGCCAATGATTAAGTAAGAACTAAAATTCTGCTTTCTTATATTTATGTTGCACCTATGGCTTGAAACACATTTTATAAGCCACACAATTTAAATTATTTAAAATAGTTAATTTGAAATGTCAATAAACCCAACCTTTTATAGTACATAATATTGTTTTATAACTATAATTTTACACAAGTTCTTTAAGGAATGTTTTTATCAAATTAAAAAAAGAAAAAACTTTAACCTTGATGTCTCAATATTAACCATTCTGAACAAGTGATAATAATTAATCAGTGCATGATCATTCTCACTGGGGGAGGATATGAAGAATAGAAACCCTATAATGAAAATAAATTTACAATGACGATACTTTTTGGAGGGACAGTAAAAAATATCTTATACATATTCCTCCCCTAGACATAACTCTTAGAATATCACTGTGCATTAATGTGTAAAAACTTTTTGAGAAAACATTGTCTAGATAACAAATATAAAAGTGAAGTTTTCGAATTAAATTAAAAAATTGAAAATGTTATAACGAGTGTAAAATTAGCCTGTAATTTTCTCTATTATCAATTTTTTAAATTATACCTATTTTATGCATTGGGTATTTTAATGACATATATTTTCTTCTTTTCCTCTAAATTTATTTTTGATATTTTAACTATATCCTTTTTCAGACATTGTTAACCCTTCCATTGTTGGTTGTATTATGCATTATGCCCAAAGTGAAAATCCAAGGTTAAAGAATGTGGCAAAAATATTTTTAGATGATTTTTGTTCTGAAAACGACATAAAAACAGCTCTAATGTTCAATACACAAACTTAATTATCAAGTACAGAATGATTGCTTATTAACTTAAATAATGTTACATTTTTATAGATCATTTTGTTCTAATACTATAAAAGTTGGTGATCGTGTAATTATTACAAAGAAAATTTGTAAAAGTGACATTTATGAATTTGCACAATTAACTGGTGATATTAATCCTGTACATTTAAGTCGACATCCATTAGTACATGGTGTCTATTTAGCAGGTTTGGTATCAGGTGTTATTGGTACAAAGCTTCCTGGTTATGGCTCATTACTTGTATCCAAGTACCTACGATTTCCAAATGCTTGTTATGCCGAAGATGAGGTTAAAATTGAAGTAGAAATTAAAAAAATTAGAAAAATCATAACATGTGAATTTTGTTGTTCGGTTGATGATAGGATAGTTATGGAAGGAAAAGCTGACATTATATTTAAAAATATTTAGTTAATAAAATTTTTATGAATAATTTAGTTTTATTTAAAATTAACTGTTTTCATATAAATAAATCTTATGAATTAAAAAATCTAATTTTAATTTTATAAATCTTTATATAATCCTTAATAAATGTTTTATTAAAATTCTTCTTAAATATATACCGATTAAATAAACTTAAGTTCAATGTTATAATTTAGACAATTTAATTATTTAAAAAAAATGTATAGACCTACTAAAAATTGAAGACATTTGTTATATAATAATTAAAAACTTTCTTAAGGTAAATTATTATTTTTTTTTTTAATAAGAATATTTTATTGCTTTTAGCTGGCGATAAAGTTATAAACAATTTTTGCAAATCAAATATATCATTGTTGATTTTCTAAATATGATAACATTTTTATTTTATTTTAAATTTAGTATAACTGATTTTTTGGTGTATGGATTCTAAGTTTTTATAAAAAAAATATTTGAATTTTAAGCATCAATTTCAATATTATTAAAAATATATATCAATTTTATATATACACAATTGTCATCTTAGGTTTATTTTTTATATATGTAATTGAATGTGTTTATGAGGTAATACAACCTTTCAATCTTCTTGTAAATTTATAAGAATTTATTATGATAAATTTGTTTAATTAACTTAATTATGTTTTCCTATACACACCACATTACTTATTCGAGTAATCTATTTTTACTTACGTTTCTTTGAACTTTTTATTATTTTCTTTTAAATGTATTTATCAATAATTATACACAAATAATTAATTATAATTAATAACCATACAGAACACTTTTTCAATTCAGGCATATGATATTTTTGAATCTTGTATGACATAAACTTATTGTAACAAATTTTTGAATTTGTAGTTTTTCTCGAGCTATACATTTAAAATTAAATACCATAGGCACAATACAACCTAAAATTGTTTTTTCTTAAAAGTATTTCTATATAAATTTACATTTAATTTTAATAATTTTTAAAATGCTGCGATAGAATTATGGGGTGTTATTTGGATGATGTTGGCACTTGGTCTTTTATGCCAGTCTAATTTTTAATGAAATTTAGGTAAATTCGATCTCTTGTTGACTGAGCAATACTTTGAGCAAGCGTGTTCCTTATTAAAATCCAATTTGTAGTCATAGGCGATTGCGTATTACATACATATTTTTTAATTTAAAATACAATTTTTACCTATATAATAAGTCAATTTTATTTAGCAATAGTTATTAGAATGGAAAATTTTATTGTTAGAAATTAAAAAAAAATATATATAACATGCTTGATGTCATTTGCTTAGAAAATCACCATAACGTTTTCAAATAAGCATTGTTTATTGTTGATTTTGTGCGTTTAAATCAAATGTTTTATGTGTTTACGAAAAAAGTGCGATGACGGGGTTTTTTAAATGAAACTGTGTTATTTACTAAAAACATTTCTCCCTTTCGTCTGCTAACTAAAAACAGTAGTGCAGATTTGTTTACATAACATCTAGTTTGAGGAAATCTTCCCTCTCGACTGAATTTGTATATATACTAAGTCTTAATGGCATACGGTTTAGTATTAGCTAATTTTAGCTTAAATCAGCATAATTGTCAACTGCTATAGTCAACTACAAACAATATGGTGTCATCATCACTCGTATTAGTTATTGTCGTAGGACTATTTTCCTTTTGGTGAGTACTCATTTACCAAATAAAATGAAACAGAATTTTGGACAGTAATATACATATTTATCACGATTTTCTTTTGTTACAGTCTGGCGGGAGAACACAAATCAACACGAAAGATAAACGATATTTTGTCCCGTAACTCCGGTACATTGCCTCAAAATAAACCTAACCAAACCCTACCTACTTCTAAGGTACCTGTTGTGACCCCTTGTACTTGTGGTGTATTTCTTAGTAGTCAATTCACTAAAGGTAGTGGAAAACAACCCAATGGATATGCCACATTAATGCATGAACAAGACGAACCTGCAACGTGTAATGCTTTGGGTATCAAGACTTGTACTAATAAATGCTTAGACATTGTAAGTATATATTTTAATAAGAACAATAAACAAGAAAGTTACTAGATATTTTAAAAAATTGGCGGAAAAAATTAAACAAACTCAAGTTGTCTCAGTAGTTTATTCATATAAAGGGGTATTTTCAATTTTGTGTTTAAAATATATAATTAAATTTTGTATTAGTTAATTAATTTCCCAAAATTTTTAAAAAACTTAATTCATCTTAACATGATTTAAAAAGAAAATACATTTAAGATATATTAAATATTAATATCTATTATAATATTTTTTTTTACCATAAATCCATAGTACTGGTATTTTAAATTAACTTTTTAACAACACGTTTTTTAGAGAGTGCAAAAAAAATATTAATTCAAGTAATTTTTATTTCCTTTAATTAATGTGGTTCGATGTAATACACAAATATTTTTAAAATTAAAAAGCTGGGTTAATTCGAATCTTTAAATATCTTTATATGTGATTTTGTTTTTCTTAGATTGCCAAATATTTACCCAACAGTCCAGCTATAATTTGTGGTTCGGTTGACCGTGACGTATATAAAGAGCGAGTAAGCGAACAATTCAATAATTATTGAACCGTATTAATAAATTTTCTATGAATAATTTATTTGATTTGTACTAGGCCCATCTTTTTGTCAAAAATTGTAACGACTTTTGGGTAAATACCAATCTTTCAGCTGGAAGAGAATACTGTTGTAAGGATGGACATCATTACAAATGTCCGTTAATTTAAGTAAATTGATCACATATTGTAATAAAGTTTTTGTATATTTTTTCTACATTTATTGTTTTTTTTTATACTTTTTTACGTTTTTTAAAAAAAATATATTTGATTGAAAATTTAATATTTTTGTTTCTTTATTTATTATGTTGTAAAATAATTATAAAGCTTCCGAAGTACTTTAAAATTAAACTATTCCTTGAGATTAAAACACCTAAGGTCGTATTTATTGTTGATTCTTCTGAATAACTTATGCTTAAGCTATTCTTAAGCATGTTATTTAGATAGGTTAAGTACTGCTTATTTATAGGAAATAACTATAAATATGACCCTTAGTTTTAGAAACTAATCCTCTTTTAAATCTCTAAAATTGAAAAATCTTTTAAAATTTAACATCTTATGATTTTTTATATTCAAAACATTCGGGGATCGTTCTTTGACCTGTTGTTTATAGTTAAAATGTGTGCTAAATTTAAATAGACAGGCTCTAAGAACTTTGCACTTTTGTTTTTGTTACCTTGAAATATTTATAAACATTAGCATATAAATCTAATGGCTTGGTTTTATTTTAGAATGGCTTTGACACAAAGGGCATTGACCACATGGGCTTCTATGGTGATCTTCCTAGTTTTGCTAACAATTCAGTTGCAAACCCGCCAGAAACAAAATTGGTACCTGGTATTTATGCCTATTTGGCTCGATGACTTGCTGACAGCACTATTTATTACATGCTCTTGCGTACATAGCAACTCATGTCAAGCTATGATCGAAATGCCAGTGTTTTGTGGTAGTCGTAGATGCATAATCTTTATTATTTGTTTGATGAAGATAATTGCTATTAAAATGCTCTGCTACAAACTAGAAAACCCGCATCTTAATTTACCCTTGCACTATGTATTCGTACCAATATGGACATTAATTATTTATCTCATTATTATAATTGTTCCCCCACTTATAAGACAGTATAAAGATTAGGATTTTTTATTTTTATTTTAAATGTACTTTTATATTAAAATATTCGTAGTATTTTTTGGGTGTAAATTGTAAATAAATATTATATAAATAAGTATACATAAATTTTAGTAATAGTAATACGGTTTAGAACAAATTATGTACAGTAACATTCTTAATAAATATACAATAATGTATTAAAGTGATAATTTATATTTTCAAATAACCGTTAAATTTACTTGGACATCATCATAAAAAAATAACAGTTTTTAGGTATTTAAAATAAGACAAACAATTTTATACATTAAATTATAACTTAAAATATCATAATGTGTTATATAATTTTTATAAAAAATATTTTTTCAAATGCAGCTACCTTATTAGGTTATAACAATTAAATAGCTTTACCTTAAATTAAAAAAAATATATATAATACAAAATTCTTAGCTATAAATTCATTAATATACTTAATATAAAAGATTTTATATTATAAATAAATAAATATTTTTAAAAATCAAGTGTCAAAAATTGCATACAAATATTTAAACTAAAAAACAGTATTGTCAAGTGATAAGTATTTCCTTAATAATAATTTCTGCAGTTTGAATAGAGGTGTGGTAACACAATGTAAAGTTAATAAAAATCTTACATAATTAATTATTTTTATTTGTGTGTATTTAGGTTGGTACAAAAGTTGGGCTTAAAAAATTATCAGTACTAATATCAAACCATGTTTTCGCTTGCGAAAAATGTATAAATAAATCGTGTAAAATATGTTTTGTCTAAGATGCTAAAAATATAAATATAGATATCTAGAATAGTGTATTTGGTCTTATATCTCTTTTAATTAAATTTTTCATTACATTGGCATTAATTTTAAACTATGGTCGATATTTGACCAGACCCAGGGGCAAATTTTAAACTGCATAATTGCATTATTAAATTAGTTTAATTAAGTTTCCTCTTATGATTAAAAATTCACAATTCTTATAAATTGGTAAGAATAATATCAGTTACTACTGTTAAGGTGACCAGCACAACAATTTATTTATACACGCTGTAGTTAATCTAATTGTACAAATTTGCAAATTGAGTTAATATTATTTAAGTAAAATTATATTTTTGAAAAATTAATAGTTGAACGACTGAGATTATTTACCTACCAGTTACTTTAGTCTACTTAAAACGATGTAAGATAAAATGAATTAAACTAAATATTGCCAAAAGCCAAATTGTACTGTGAATCATCGAAGAAGAGTTACGACATGCTCGTTTGGTTTGTGTGACCAGCAATTTGTTCTTATTCATATTGTTAGTAATACTTCTCAAATCACTGTTTGGCAGCCATTTTTCACGAGATAAGACAACGCTGTATAGTTCTGTATTAGGCGAGCAAAACGTTAGTACCATGTGGTCACCAACAGCTTTTCTGACGTAAACAAAACCCGCAAAATGATTGTATTTTGCACTTTCTTTAAGAGTTACTAAAAAAATTATAAACTATTACAATTAAATACATCAAAGTACAAAATCTGAATTACAAAAAAAGTTTCACTTAAAAAAAAAAAAAATGGCAGATAGGACATATAAGGCATAACAGGGCTCGGAAGTTTTAGCAAATGCATATTTCACTAATTTTTGCAAGTTTACATTTATGGGTGCTATTTTGCTAATATTTAGGTTTAAGTGCTATTTTTAGATAGATTTTATATATATATATACAGGGTGTTCAGTAAGTCAGGAAACGGGTTTCTATTGTTCTCATTGTTTGTATATATCCAAAATAACCAAAATTGTATTGAAAAAAAAAACTACTAACACATACATATGAATGTGAAAACAATAATTAACAAGTATTTTGATTATCAAAATTGATATATTCGATTGTTGTTGTCGATAATACAATTCTATTCAAATCATTACTACTGTACTTGTATCTGCGTTATTTGAAAAGTGGTGTGTTAATTGATTTAAAAATGCCAAAAGTAAAACAAATTTTATATCGAGTCGGCTACAATCTTATATTAATGAATTTAGTCCTAATATATTTTCAATCGATGCAAGTGTATTGTTTTGTGAAATTAAAATTAAATCCGATAAAAAGTTTAATGTATCACAACATTTAAAAAGTGACAAACATATAAAAGGCTTTGTCCAATATGAAAATCAAATTAATCGAATACAGCAACAGTTATTGACAAAAATAAGTAATAGAAAATCATCATTCAACAAAGATTTGTGTGAGGCTCTTATTTCCGCTAATATTCCTTTAAATAAATTAGAAAATCGAAAATTAAAAGCATTTTTGGAATTTTATACAAAAAATGAAATTCCGAACGAATCTACGTAAAAAGGATACGTATATGAAATTTAAAATGAAACTATTAACGACAAAGGAAAACTATTTCAGACAATGCAATTTGGGTCAGTATCGATGAGACGACTGATGTAGAGGGTCGTTACATTGCGAATGTAACAGTTGGTATTCTTGTTGAAAGTTGCGCAAGCAAAATTTTTTTACTAAATTCGGATGAACTAGAAAAAGCTAATCACTCTACAATTATCAAAGTTTTTGACAAATCCATGAATTTATTATGGCCAGCTGGTATTAAACATGACAATGTACTTTTATTAGCTTCGATGCGAAGCTGAGAAGGTATTGGTTTTACTAAGATGTGTTTTTTTTAGCTTCGATGCGAAGCTGAGAAGGTATTGGTTTTACTAAGATGTGTTTTTTTT